ACTTGCCATAATTGACGGAAGCATGAATTCTGCACTCTATCAGAAAATCCTGAAGGAGAATGTCCAGCCGTCAGTTTGTGACCTCAAGCTCAAGCGCACTTGGGTTATGCAGCAGGACAATGATCCCAAACACACCAGCAAGTCCACCTCTGAATGGCTCAAGTCAAAGTCCGGACGTAAATCCGATTGAGATGCTGTGGCATGACCTTAAACAGTCCTTTCATGCTCGAAAGCCCTCCAAAGTGGCTGAATTAAAACAATTCTTCAAACAAGAGTGGACCAAAATTCCTCCACAGCGATGTGAAAGACTCATTGCTAGTTATCGCAAACTCTTGATTGCAGTTGTTGCTGCAAAGGGTGCCACAACCAGTTATTAGATTTAGGGGGCAATTACTTTTTCACGTAGGGCCAGGCAGGTTTGGATAGCTTTTTTCCCTTAATAAATGAAATCATTATTTCAAAACTGCATTTTGTATTCACTCTGGTTATCTTTGTCTAATATTAAAATTTGTTTAATGATCTGAATCTTTTAAGTGTGACAAATATGCAAAAAACAGGAAGGGTGCAAAAACCTTTTCACGGCACTGTAGCTGTTTTCTATTGCAATATAATTTAAAATGCTATTTATTACATTTTTATTTATTTAAAAGCTATTGTTTAGCAACCATTAATTCAGTCTTCAGTGTCACATGGTCAGCAGAAATGTTTAGAGAGATTTTCTATTATCACAGTTAAAAACAGTTTTTGGTGAAAACCATGATCTGTTGTTTTTTAAGAACAGCATTTATATGAAAAAGAAATATTTTATAACATCATAAATGTCTTTACTGTCACTTTTGATCACTTCAATGCATTGTTACTGAAAACGTTGTTTTCCTAAATGTTGTTAATCTAAATTTAAAAAGTAATTATACAGTAGTTTTCAGACATTTCAGCATGTGAAAGTTCTCTATACCTGTGTTTATGACTTCAAACTTCCTATTAGAAACTCTGGAGAAACTCACAAAAAGGGAAAAAGAAGTATCCACTCTAACAACCCAAGTAGATGCCCTAAAGACCCAAATAACTGGTAATTACCACATTTAAAGTGTTACATTTATGTCATTCTCATTATGTTTTTTGTGAAACAACTAAGAGAGCTATATATAACGTACCATAGGATGATGCTAATGATATTTTATTCTACTTCTAATAATTGCAACTGCATCTTGTGTGTAGCCTTGGAGGAAAAGGTTCGTTTGAGAGAGAAGGTGGCAGATGGACTCGTTGAGGAAAAGACGTGCTTGGAGGTGGAGCTGGAGTCCATGACCAAAAAATCCCATGATGCATCAGGCCAGCTTGTGATTATTAGCCAGGAGCTTCTGAAGAAAGAGAGGTAAAGAGCATTCATGGAGGAGGAGAGGGCACTTTGTGATTTATTACAGGTTTGAGTGAGCTTTTAAGCACTTGAGATGATAATGACAGCATGTGGTCCACATGGAAATACTTGTTTTTTAAAGCACATTTCAAGAAATGCTTTAGTCATCTAACTTACACTTGAATATAGTGTGTACTTGAGCCTCTATTTTATTCCTGTCATGGAGAACCATCATCTGGATTGTATTGCTTCCCCAATACACTAGGATAAATGGTTAGCCATTGCTGATTGTAATCTACTCAAGAGCAATTTGAGTTAATGAAGACAGTTACGAAGTTTTTCAATCAATACTACATGCTGACAGTGAATATCCTGTCAGGGGTTTGGGCTCTGCCCTTAAAGGGATAGTCCACCTAAAAATGAAAATCTTGTCATCATTTGCTCACCCTCAAGTCTTTCCAAATCTGTATGAGTTTCTTTGCTGATTAAAGAAACTCATACAGATTTGGAAAGACTTGAGGGCGAGTAAAATTCATTTTTGGGTGGACTATCCTTTATTAAGAACTAAAACTTATTAACAAAAGCTTATTACACCGAGTTGGTTGGCTTTGATTAGGTCAAGCGCACATTGCAATACCGAAGGATGTTGCCCTAATATATAAATTTTATGTTGTTATTAATATTTTTATGCAATATTTTGTCTTTCTCTGTGTGTGTGTGTGTGTGTGTGTGTGTGTGTACATATCAGGAGCCTGAATGAGCTTCGGGTGTTACTGCTGGAATCTCCGCGTCACTCTGCAGGAGTGGATCGGGACCTTGGCCGTGAAGTCCACAGAGCCGAGTGGAGGGTGAAAGAACAGAAACTACAGGACGACATCAAAACTCTGCGAGAGAAACTGTTGCTGCTGGTGAGATATATGAACAGAAACCTGCGACTACAGCCGTTGCTGCTGTTTTATGACACACATCTCATGTCATTGTTGACACATTTAAATTCAATTTAAGTGAATTTTTCTTTACTAATCAAATTTTCCTCCCAGACACAAATATATGTATATACACGATTGTTGAAAAGTTTGGAGTCTGTTAAATTTTTGGATGACAAAGGCTGCAACTATTTAATCACAAATACAGTAAAAACGGTAATATTATGAAACATCATTACAATTTAAAATAGCTGGTTTATATTTTAATGTTTTAAAATGTAATTTATTCCTGTGGTGGTAAAACTGAATTTTCAGCATCATTACTCCAGTCTTCAGTGTCACATGATCCTTCAGAAATCATTCTATTATGCTTATTTGCTGTTCAAGAAACATTTCTTCTTATCAATAGGGATGTAATGATATTATCAATATCGTGATATCGCGATAGCAAAACTGTCTTGATATTATCGTGGCCACATGATGATATGAAACTATAAGTCTTCTGGGCAAAAAGTGTTGCCACCAGTTCTGCTTTATTTTCGCAGCAGATGATTACAGCATTTCACTAGATTTGTAGTGAGACCTAGATCTAGAGATCTAGAGAGACCTAGAGTTTTTGTAAGCCTGTTTTCCTTCAAAATAAAAGCTCTATATATGCATTGCTGACAGCTAGTGGTTTAAATGCAGTCCAAATTAAAAACAAAATATCTCTTTTCAAGTGTAGAAATTAAGAAAGAAGTATTGTCATTTCCCTACTGTAGTGTAAAGCAAAAATAACATACCAGTGAAATATTCATTTTCATTTACTGTATTTTACAGTGCAATTGTTTTAAAATATTTGGCTATTACTGTCATAGGAATAAATAATATAAAATTGTTATTTTATATTATTAATATAATACTTATAAGAAGACTTACGTTTTCTTAGTTAAGAACATGGTTTGGACTCTCAAAGTGCATTAGATAGAATAATTTAACTTTAAAATGTACAAAATTCAGATTTTTTTCCAATTCTTCATTTGTCTATTTCAAATATCGCAACAAACACCGTATCGTGGACTTCATATCGTGATATTATATCGTATCGTGAGATTTTGATATCCTTACATCCCTAATTATCAATGTTGAAAACATTAATATACATAAACAGTTGTGCTGTTTAATATTTTTGAGGAAACTGTGATACTTTTTTCATTTTGTGGTGGGGTCGGTGTGTTTATTTTATTTTATTTATTATATTAAGTCATGCAGTAAATAATAGGATGTATTTTTTATGTATATCTCAAAGTAAAATAAGAAAAAGTGTATTTTATATATATATATATATGTATACAGAAGATGCTTTTATTATATAAAACACTATTTTTGACTGTGACTGATACGCTCACTGATATATTGTGCATCAGGGACGGGAGAGGTCATCTCCAGACCACCGTCGATACTCGATGATGGACCCATCTGCTTCAGACACAGAGGTGGCCCGTCTGCGTCAAAGGCTGCTGAACACAGAAGATGCCCTGAGGAACGCTCTGGAACACAACCAACACGTGGACCAGCTAGTGCAGGCCATGCGCACCCGACCAGACAAGAACCAGGTAAACAACAGACAGTTAGCAGCACCTCACCTCAACTTGCTACTGCTCCTGGCTATTTCTTCAATGGACACACTAACATGGTCCAGCAGTGTCACAAATATTGAAATGCTCGTTCTTTGTGTTCACAGGCACATGCTAGTGCTAATTCTGCAAATGGAATCCATCAAGAAGACACTTCCTTCACACAAGAGGTTAATAGATCTTTATTCGAAGAGGATTTAGAATCCTAACATTTCTGTATCATCCTAAACTCTGCTTCTCTGTCTAGGAAGAACACTGATGAGGGCTAAAACGGTTCTCAGATGTTTAGGGAAGAATGGAGGTGCATTGGGAAAGAAGAAGCCAATTTGATGCCTAGACCTTTGGACTAATGCTTCACTGGACATCTTATTTTCTGTTTACAGTTAACACCAAAACAATGACTTTATAGATGAACAAACCGAAACCACGAATCGAAGAATATCTAAAATGATCCGAGATGCTATACAAAGACATAACGGAAGTGGTTTTTAAGGTCAGTGGTACAACACGGACAAACTGACACACCGACCCTGTCGACTACCTCCGAGATGGACAATATTGTCCGATTTAACAAATGAGAGAATGTCGGTCAGGATACTTGAATCCTCGGAAAATCCAATGCCCTGCTATACTCTCAGTTGGCTGTAACCGTTTGCAGTTTAGGAAACATTTTTGGCCTCAATTTATACCGTTTAACTTATTTGCCATCTATGCTTTTTAAAAATGGTATATTCGAAGAGATAAACTGGCCAACTTCAGGCATAAGGTTTGAAGTTCTGGTCACTGTAGCAAACAAGTAAATAAACCAGACAGGCTCCCTTATTCCATTCCTGCTCATTTTTGTGTTGATTTTCTTCATAGAGACATCAATTTTAAGGTATGAATTATACAGTATTCCGCAACCATGTTCAACAGAATTAGCAAGTTAAGGTGCACCGTAAAGCTTCAAGAACCAGTATTGCAGATTCAGTCAATATCGGTGCATACTTTTGTAATATTATACGTTTGTAATATGGCCGACAATGCCAACTCCCATCCTGTAGTTAATTTAAATGAACAATGAACCAACAGCTTTTGCTTCATTTGGAATCATTTGCTGAATCATTTCATTCTTTTAATTCATATTGGATAATATTTTCTTGACACACTTAAGAGGAGGTACTACATGCACAAGTGACCATTTTTAGCTGAATTTAACAGTTTTGACTCTTATGAACTATTTTTGCCCAAATGATAAAGCTGGATTTTCATTTGCCTTTTTAATGTTGTCTTTACAACAAAAACAAAAAGTGCAAAAAAAGCGTGTTAATTTACATGCACACAGCATTTTATATAATATTTAAAGTAAAGAAGCTTGCATTTTTTTGTTCATATCCAAGTAAGTATTTTGATAAAAGGAAAGGATCAACTGTAGTACCTCCCCTTAAAAGATCAAGAAAGACTGTTTAGCATTTTCTCTCTGATCAGATTTCTCTGTCCATACACACCTTTGTAGTAACAAATCTGATGTTAAAACAGAAACGGTACAAAACATAACTGCAATCCCGTAATTCAGTGTCTGCTCAGTGGTATTCCAGAATTGATTCTCTCCTTTGAAAAACCATGTGGATGAAATACTGTGCAATTAGGTCGTGTTTGTTCATTAGGCAACTTTATACTGATGTGATTGTCATTACAACCAAGAAAGAATTTTCTTTTTCAAAAGGAATAGGGAAAATGATAGGGCTGGCCCCAAGTTTTGCTGTTGAAATTGCTTTAGATTGCAGTTGGATTCGATAAAAATGCCTTTTATCTGTTGGGAAGCAGTTCACTCACCACTTGCTGTAATGGGTCCCAAGAATCAGTAATTAAACATTAACAAAAGAGACACTTTGTTGTGTTTGATTTGTAACAAGTGGTTTCCTCTTATTTTCAAAAGGGAACGGTTTGTATATAAGCACTTTCCAATTCACCACTTTATACTATATACACTATATGAAAGAATCTATCTGTCAATCTCAAGAAATTTTGCTATTTGAACCTGAAAATGTCATGCTTTTACTTATAAGCTGCAGTCCGTAACTTTTTTTGTGTTCAAAATGTATACAATAAGCGAGTACGCCATGAATCCATTTTCCAAACCGTGTTTTTGGCTTGTCCTGAATCACTACGGTACACCTGTAATAAGTATTTATATTCGGACTATTTCAGACTGGTACTGGTGGAACCGCTGCGGAGTAGCCCAGTATCTGCGTGATTCGCCATAGACATAAACAGAGAAGTAGCTCCGGCTACAATGTTCTTCCGCACGACGCACGCAGTTCTGTTTATTAACCGCTAGAGCGCCAAAAGTTACGGACTGCAGCTTTAACATTTTATTTGAAAAGGTTACGGTCATATTTTTCCACCATATTGGGATGCATTAATATTCAGATTAGTGCTCAGTAATATGGGATTTTTAATGGCTAATTCTTATACCTTTACCTTAATCCTGCATGTACTGTTTAAAGTGATAGTTCGCCAAAAATATATATATATTGAAGAGTAAGGGTTAACTAAACAGTTGCTGGCCACCATTGACTTCCACAGTATGGAGGGGAAAAAATACTATGCAAGTCAGTGGGAACCTGCAATACTTTGGTTACCCACATTCTTCAAAATATCTTATTTTGTGTTCAGCAGAAAAAATAAATAAGAAAAATGACAGAATTGTCCCTTTAACTGGTACCAGTAGTTATAGTTCTTGTAAATGGTAGCTACAGTATTTTAGTAGGCTGGACAAAAATGGAAATAAATTAAACTTGTGAGTGTTAAACGATAGTTTAAAAAATAGTGTAACAGATTAAACTCATAGTTTAAAAATACCATATATCATCAAGAGGCATGCTTAATAAAAAGTTAAACGAATTTTCATTCCTCAAATCGTCGAAGATGTGAGCCAATATGTTTTTAAGTCTAACTGGTCTGTGTATTGTAAGTGCAATATCCGGAGTGCAAAATATGTTGGCCGTATGGGCACCAGGGCCATCTGAAGATACATATCTGCAAACGAGAACATGATTTCCACCAGCAAACCTAATGAGCGGCCACTACAGACTGACAGTGGGGAGGGATGCACGCATTACAATGTTACGCCGTTAGGGAGAGACATTACATGAAACAAACCAGCCAAACTGTTGAAGGCGGTTCTGTTGCTCTCTAGGCTTTGTTGGTGGACAGCAGTTTGTGATCACAGATCATCATCATGCTGCCATGATATTCTGTCACATGCTAGACATGAAGAAATATACTATTCAAAACTATACAAAATGACTATTATTAGGCCTATATTTGATACATGTTTAATATATTCCAGACATGTTACATTATGTTTATTCCAGTAATTTTAAGTTACTTAAATTTTGGTTGAACTGTGACCAAAATACAACATTTTGAAATGTATAGTTTTTGTGTTTGCTGGGTCCTATAAGCATAACTGGCCAAAATATGGTGCATATCCTGTAAACATCCTAATGTCTTCCAGGTATTTTATGGCAGTTTGTCATTGTGGGCCACACCTAGAAATGTAATTGCTTTTAATCTTCCTCTTTTCTTGTTTCGTTTGCCATGAATTCTAACAATCTTATAGGCAGAAATTACATATGAGACACATGTTTTGTTGGTCTTGACCCAGGAATTCAAAGAACTTTTGAACCTGTTGCAGAATTATTGACATTTTGTAAAAAAAAATACACTTATAATAGCGCCACCTAGTGTTTGACAAAGGTGTGTATTTGGGATTTGAGACCATATCCCACCAAGTTTGGGGTCTCTGAAACCCAGACAGTTTTAGTGAAATGAATGAATGCATGCACTTTTCGTTATTTAGACTACTACTAATAAGAAACCAGATATAATAGTACCCTTCAGTGCTTGTTTACTAATAACAAACTCTTCCATGGTTAAAAGTGGGATGAATTATGTTATTTCATATGATAATTCGGAATAATTATACTTGAACTTTTGATGAGGTTAATATCACAAATGAGCATTTTTAATGTAACTACAAAGGACATAACAAATATCACATTTAAAACGGGTAATTCATATAGCATATTTATATATTTTTGTGCAAAATATATCATTTTCATTTATTTTTAAATGAATTTATTAGATGCAGTGGAAAATATCAGACAGCCTATTTATTATACTATTTAAGATGTGTTGCATCGGGGTTTTTTACGTTGCGTTATCCTTCTCTTATAATCATAAATGTATTTACAGATTCACGACATCGATGGACCGCGGAACGGTACAGGTTATCAGGCGCACCGTTTGCTCTTATTTGCAACGGTCTGGTTCCTCTTAAAATAAAGCAGCGATAACAGGGGGGCTGTGGCGATGGGCAGAGAGAAATATGGACATGTTACAGTCACAATGTCAAAAGAGTTGACCTGCGAGTGCTGTTCCAGCGGTTCTTTAACCCTGTATGTAAATGACAGCCAATAGGTGCTGTTGTTGAGTTGGGCTGGGATTAGCGGAGGCGAATGACTTTCAATTTTACTGGATTACAGAACAAAGAAAGGGGACACACTCCTCTGTTAAAGAAAACAGAAAGAAAACGGGGCAACTTGATCAAATAAATCACGTCGATTTCAGTTCAGCAGACTACAAACCATTGGAGATTATGACATTTAAGAAAGTCGCTATCGCCTTTCTTTAGATGGGAATTCAGCTCTCACTACCATTGGATTAAACGGAGAATAAACCTATTCCGGGATTGACAGCATAAGGTAATTAAACACGGGGAAATCGGTAAGGATGAAATGTAATTCTGTATATGCATGAATTAAAAACCATTTACGAGTATCGTTCTTGAGCACGTGACTTTTTATGGATGTTGAAAAAGTGAAATTACAGATTATAATTTAGGGGGGGAGGAGGATGGCTAGGAGTGTTAGCACACTGGCTATCATGCTAACGCTCCGCACGCGAATCCGTGTCGCTCGACGCGATGTTTTAGACGCTTTTATCAAAGTAGCACGCGTTATAATACACCCTAGATAAGATAAACAATTAAACGCCTTTGCGTTCTGCGTTTTAGTTCACTGTAGACGCAATTCTCCTGTTTTGTGAAAATGGCAACACAATTTGAGTGCTAGCAAGTTGCCTAAATAGAGCGGTTCCATTGTTGGCTGGGTGATAAATTACAGTCAGTGGTTTTCATTTCGCACAGTCTTATGAAAATCGCCGAGGTTGGCGTGGTCACAGACGCGTTTGTCGACCTGAGAAGGTCATGTTTACAATGTCAAATCCACCTATCAGTGGCGGCTAATCTGTGTCTACACTGTGTGAAGACTGCTTTTCTAGATTATTATGCATAACTGAATGTGTCCAAGTGCTGCGGAGTAATAATATCACATGTCTCTAAACTTGCTCGGGTTTCCCTCGGAGGACTTCTCTACTGTCAGATCCATTCATGAAGACAATGCGAGTTTATGATTTATGTCGTTCTGTCACTGAAACATGAACTATCCCAGAATGACTTGCTGTCGGATTGGGCCTGTAAACGTTATTTATAACAGTAGTAGCTGTCCTTGTTTCTTTGTGCTTTTTCTTCACCCAGATTTTATAGCGGGCACAGTACCACAGTTGTTTACTGTACAACATATTCTTAAGATTAAAGTTTATTAATGCTACCATGAACTGCACATGCAAAATGATTGCTTAAATGTAGGCTGACTAGGAAATTAACAGCAGAAGAGATTGAACGGTATAGAACAAAAACTGTGGTAATTATCTACAGTATATTACCAAGACAATTCATTTCCGTCCAATATTTCTGACAAAAGTATGAAGCCAACAGCAA